TATACCTACTCATTTATGTTTAAAATGGTCCATCTGGATGACATCAAGGAGGCTGTAAGCCTTTTGACCCAATGTAAAGTGTCCAAATGTTCAAACAAGGCAGTGACAACCCCCTTTGGGATAAGAGAAAATTTAATCCGGCTTTATTGGCTTGGATCTATACCTCGAAAGCCTTGCCACTAGCATTTAGGCATTTGGGCACACAAAAAAGAGGGAGTTTAGTAGTTGAAGTGTGAATAAATTTTCTGGATAACTAGTTTCTGATTCAATAATGGTAGAAGAGAGCACTAGAATTCTAGCAAAAAATATACATAAAAGCTAAAATATGTTTTCAAAAGTGAGCAAATAGTAATCTCTCTTTTTAAAAATTTTTGTTATCCATAAATCCTAGGGTTTCTGGCAAGAATTCTTATTATCCATAGCAGAATTTTAACTACCCCTAAGGAAATGTAGTTATCATCATTTCTGGAAAGATGTCTTTGATCAACTACTCTCTCACCTGGAGCACAACCTAGGCCCTGGGAACAGCTTTCAGGTAGCTCCTGAATGGCCTTTTCAGTAGCTGCTAGGGTAGTTTAAATATAACTCATTACATAAAACTGGAGCCACAAAGACTGTAACTGCTGGCTGGTGGGAATTGTTTTACTGAGCAAATAGTTTAACAAACATCCATCCTTAGCAAACATCCTTCAACCAAGATTAAGTTCCTGGGAAATTGTGTCACAAAAATAAGTTCTATTATTTTTCTAAAATCTGTGAAGTTGATTTTTTCCTTGGGGTTCTAATATTTAGATTTAAATTGGATAATGGTTTATTTTACATGCTTTCCTAAAAGTGCTGAATATCTTGACCATTTCCGATGGGAAACCATAGTTTATGTGGTCTTTAGGGACGACCACTCTCCCTCATGATATACGATTTTTCCTAGCTACTAATTGAAGTCTGGGATGGGATTTAGGGAGTTCCAAGGATCTGGGCTATTTGTAGCCACGACATTTAATAACCTATTCCAAATGATATTCTACTTCTACCATTATAAGAAACTGTCTGACTTTTAAAATTCTCAAAAGATAGGTTTCCTTTTGTTAAAGATATATGCATATGTGTGTGTATATATATGCATACACACACACAAGAAGCTTAAAGATTATGTAAATATATGCATTGTGTAGCTGAACACTGAATAGGATTAAACTTAAATATATATATTATATATATATACACACACACAATAAGTTTAAAGATTATGCAAATATATGCTTTGCATAGCTGAACATTGGATCTGCAGCTCAAATTCATTTCAATAACAAAGAAAATATATTTGGTACCTACACAAATAATTCCTTGAATATGGTTACTATTTTATAGTTTCCATTTCATTTGATCCTCACAAAAACCTTGGTATGTGGTTTATCTCCATTATACAGAGCAGGAGATTGAATCTTACTAGTGTTTGATGATGGACTTTGAACTTTGGAGTTAGTTAATAAAATTTTGAAAAACAAAGTGTAAACAAACAAGAAAAAAATGGTTTAAAAAATCCATTTTGGAGTGTTTTTAATTGCTCTTGTCATGAAGAAATTATTCTTCTTTTAGTAAATGTTACAAGATTATTTTTACAACTCAGGGAATTAAAAAAAAAAAGGCCAGACAAATAAACAAACAGAACCTTGGGGAGAGGTTGATGATAGCAAAGATCACTTGATTTTGTGTATGGCTGGTTATCTTTTCTTTTCCAAACACACAGCACTCCAAAGGCATCCTATTTGTATAATTAGTCCAATGACCCCAGCTATGGCACAACTCCTTAAGATGATTCTGTATTGATTCTTGTGATTCTCAGGCTCGTAAGTAGGACTCGGGATTCCCAAACCTAGGCCTTTCTTATTTCCATCTCAACCCTGTAGGAAGTGAACTGTTAGTAAATCTTATTTCTCCCAGCATGTTCGTAGTCCCTTCAACAGGAATCAACAAACCATATTCTTCAACTTACTGGTTTAGTGCTGAATTTCCTTTCATACGAAATTCATCATATACTATCTGATTCTACCTGTTTGTGGTCGTTTTGCCATCTTTTTAAAAAGTTTTCTTATACTCATCAAATGACATTTTCTGCATTAGAAAAATACTTTATCCGAAATGTGACATATAATACTATCAAGAACCAATGGCGTCTAGCAGTTACATTTACCCACCACAAATAAAACTCCTGTTTGTTTCAGGGTTCAGTTAGAGAGCTAGCCAAACTGCAGTCATTAGTCTATAATAACTCAAAGGCGAGCATTCTTGGGAGTCAAGCTTGGAACATCTTCTGTCCCCTTAATCATACATTTTACATCTCCTTAGGGAGTGGTGAGAAAGTCCTGATGTGCAGTTACCACTACCACAGAATTAGTCTCAATTCCCAGCTGGGCCCTCGCCCCCAACTTTCTTCATTGTTAGTTGTACTTTTAATTTTTATTTTTAGGGCCACCATTCTTCCAGCCAATGATGTGTGAGCAGGGGAATTTATTATGCTCTGGTGAGGGGAAAACAATGCCTGGAATTCTTGTCATTTTCAAGTTACTAAAGCAGTACTTTGAGAGTTAATTTTTAAAATTTTATGTCATAAAGAAAACTGCTTCTTCTTTTTCACATTTTCTGAGGTTTTTCTGTATAAGTAGCTACAGGAAAATTCATATAAATAAAGTGAAAATGTCAGTATAGGCAAAAAATTAATTATTTTATTTTAGCAAGATGTATCACATATTTTTCTTTTTATGTGTGCAAGTATTTATTTTTTCAGAAAGAGAGGTGGGGGATGCAGTCTTGCTGTGTTGCTCAGGCTGGTCTTGAACTCCTGGCCTCAAGTAATCCTCCCACCTTAGCCTGTTAAGTAGCTGGGATTATAGGCATGATCCATTACATCCAGTTTATGGATCATGTGTTTTTCTAAGAAACATGAAGAAAACGTTGTTTTCTATATTGGCAGATGTTTAGAAATGTCATTTCTATTTAGAAATGGAATGGAAATTCCTTTTTTCTTTTTTTTGAGATGGCCTCTTGCTCTGGCACCCAGGCTGGAGTGAGTGGCTCAACAGTGGCTCACTGCAACCTTCGCTTCCTGTATTCAAGTGATTCTCCTGCCCCAGCCTCCTGAGAAACTGGGTTTACAGGCGCCTGCCACCATGTCTGGCAAATTTTTGTGTTTTTGGTAGAGATGGGGTTTCAGCATGTTGGCCAGGCTGGTCTCGAATTCCTGACCTCAAGTGATTCACCCTCCTCTGCCTCCCAAAGTGCTGGGATTACAGGTGTGAGCCACCCCACCCAGCCGGAAATTCCTTTTTTTTTTTTTTTTTGAGACAGAGTCTCGCAATGTTGCCCAGGCTGGAGTGCAGTGGCACAATTTCAGCTCACTGCAACCTCTGCCTCCTCAGTTTAAGCAATTCTCCTGCCCCAGCCTCCTGAGCATCTGGGACCACAGGCACGCGCCACCACACCTGGCTAATTTTTTGTATTTTTAGTAGAAACAGGGTTTCACCGTGTTGGCCAGGCTGGTCTCGATCTCCCGACCTTGTGATCCACCCACCTCAGCCTCCCAAACTGCTGGGATTATAGGCGTGAGCCACCGCGCCCGGCCACTATTGGTATTTTTAAATATGATTAAGCGATTATCTGGAAGAGTTGCATGCATTGCTCACAGTTCCCTGGGGAAAAAGACAAAGCTTTGGCATTCCCAGTGGTTAGCATGCTGACTGGTGTGAAATTAGTTCTACACAGGCAGCACCGGCACACACGAGAGCAAAATTATTTTTCTTGGATTTGGGCGTTAGTCAAACATTGCCGTCTACTGGCTGGCTGCTGCAATTACTTCTAAGAAATACAAAGAAACCAATTTATTGCCTGCTCTCAAAATTTGCTGTCTCCACCTCTAACAATCCATATTAAATAGATTAATAATCCTTCTTTTAAAGCATAACTTTTTTGATTCCTCTATATCCCTAAATATGTATGTCAGGAGTATTGATGCAGAGATGATATTTTGATTTCATTTAAAACAAGCCTGAAATTTGCCCTGGTAAATAATGAACAGTCTCATTCCAGACAAGTTTGTGGCTTTCAGTTGAGATAAATAAATAGGAAGACCTCAGTCTCACTTACGGCCATGCCTTCTTAATTTGGGACAATTTGGTTTATAAAGGCAGAAGAGTCATTGTATTCAGAGATAACAGAAAAATTGCAAAAAAAAAAATGGTTGACTTTTCATGAAAAAAATTTGCAGAAAAATTGCTTTAAAACTATATAAAATAATAGAAAATCTACAGATTGGCCACTAATCTCGGTTTGGTCTTTTGCTAATAAGGGCTTTCCTCACTTCTACGAAGCAAAAGCAGAAGCTTCCAATTCAGGATCCAGACATTTTGGCATTTTTTTCCTAACCATTTAACTGGAAACCTTGGTGCCTGTGGCCTTTGGCACCCACAGAACTATGTTGTGAAGTATTAGCTCAGCAAGCCCAATAGTTTACTCACACACTAAGGAAATAGCTGGGGTGACCAAAATGTAAACCCGCCTCTATTTGCTGAAGAATTAGAAATGAACACAGCCTTCATCCACATTCTCTGAGACTACACTGTTTTAGGCATACATATGCAAATGTTGAACTTCTCTGCAACCAAAAGACATTTAATTTATGTTCAATCTAACCTAGTTAATTACAAACACAACAAGGTAGTTAAAGAAACCCTCAGTTGAAAATGATGCAGCTGATGCTCTGGAGTTTTTTTTTTTTTTTCCCTGTTAGGTGGATTCCATTCTCAATATTATTTTACATTTTTTTTTCCGGGGTGAGAGGCCATTTTTTATTCACAAAGAGTTTATTGTTATAGTAAACAATGGTGGATCATCAGCATCTGTCTATGTTTGTTCAAGGATACCTGAATTTAGATATGAGGGTTGACTTGGCAACTTGCCCATGATCGCACAGTTAATTCTGAGTCAGTTCCCGTTTTCACACTCACCCCTGTCTCAGGCATGTGGATGGAGAACCTGGGTCATGATCATGCTCATCGAGCTCTTCCTGCCTCTTCCTCTCCTTGGGCACATTGCTTCTGGGAATTTCATTTTCCTTATCTCCAAAGTAGACATAGCATTACTTCTCTGCTTTACAATGTGGTCATAGGGATGAAAGAAGGCTTAAATATGTTAAGCGCTTGGCATACAGTGAACACTCAAATTATTATTTTTGTGCTATAGATATCATCAGTTCTTATTTTGCAGACAACCCAAATTGTGTACCAAGGGAAGAAATTTTTCATCGAGTCATCACATATAACTCCCTAAATGTGTGCTGATACTATCAAATCACTTTGTATATTATTAGAGGTGTATATTAAACTTTTGTTTTGTGCTTAATGTTGATTTTGGAGAAGAATGAAGTGACATTGCAAAAAATTTTTTAAAAAAATCTATTTACATGGGTAAAACTTGTAGCTTCCCTACTTGATTTTGCCTCACTACTCTTGAATGCTGAAAGGTTTATGTTTGTTTGTTTGTTTATTTATTTATTTATAAATAGAGACGAGGTCTCACTATGTTGCCCAGGCTGATCTCAAACGTCTGGGCTCAAGCCATCCTCCTGCCTTGGCCTCCCAAAGGGCTGGGATCACAGGCATGAGCCACTGCATGTGGCCAGGTTTATGACTTTGACTCTGGTTTGTGAGGCCAGCTTTGAAAAAATGGTAGGGATCTTCTTAAATAACAAACATGCTTATTGCTGTCTGATTAATATAGAATCACAGCAGTGGCAATTTTTCTTTATGAACAGATACCTTTCTGTGCTGTAATGCTGTAGGGCCTTTTGGCCACATTGACTCAGTTGGACAACAGTAATATCTGTAATATCTAAATGAATTCTTAACAGACATCAAGTTTTAAAACCTAAGACTTTCTAAAATTATAAAGTTGATTCTAATCTGGACTGGGGGTCTGCCAGCCTTGGGCTTACTTTCTCTAAAGCTCTGTGCATCATGGACAAAGTCACCAAGACTGTTCACCTGGCAGTTACAGCTATTCTGGAAGGGAGTGTCTGGCATGGGGATGCTGGATAGCTACTGTTTGTCAAGAGGCTGGACACACCTTTGATGAAGGATCATTACCTTCCCAGAATATCCTTATAATTCCCTGATGGGCCAGTTACATTTTATCACTTCCTACTGGTCATTACACCAGACAACTTTCAAAGACAGGGCCTAGCGTGCAGGTGGACAGCAATATAATTCAGGCAGGAAAGAGCTGCTACTGCTGCGTCACTATATGCTACCTCTAGAGATACAAAGAGACTGTTATACTAATCTCTTCTAATCGGATACTGCAGCTTCACAGTGGTAAATTTAAAAACTAAAGAACAATGAAATAGGTGCAAAATGATTCTTTATAATTTAAGAAAATACAGGGAAGCAGTGGTCTGGGTAACACAAAAAATGGAAATACACCACGCCATTTATATTTGACTTTGGCATGCAGAATATAATTTCTTCCGCCCCGAGGGCATGCCTGTCCTGGTCATGTTTTGTTTGACAGACATTAAAATCTATTTTCAATTCATGAATATATCAAACCTGAACATTACAGAAAGTTGATCAAATATACATTGAAGACCATCATGAAAAGCCTCTCTACATTGATTTGTGTTATTCTGAATTAATTTGTGCTTCATGTCACTGAGTTTTCAAGAAGGAGGTTTATGAATAGCCCATATGTTATCTTTGTGCATAAATCAGCCTGTGATTCTGCTCATATACAAGTCCATGAGATCCTAATGAGCATTTCTGAGGATTTTAGATTTAGTGTAGTATTATAACAATACTTGCCTCATAGGCCTAATCTTAGGATTAAATGATTAATATAGATAAAGCAACATGAACTATTACTAGGTAGAAAGTGGTAGGAAGAGCTACAGAATAAATGAGAAAGATGATGTATAATGGTCATGAAATGTGAAACTCATACAGAGATTCCCTAAAGAAATAAGCTGTAGGTATTTATTAATTTATTCAGTAATGAGTTACTGAAAACCATCTATGTCCCAAATAGTGTTCTAGGTGCTGAGATGAGCAGTGGTTAAACAGTCCAAATCTGTATTATGGAGCTTACATTCTAGATGACATGCAAAGTGTGATTTCTTATTATCTTTAAAACACGCTTTTGTTAGTTTGCTATTTTATTTTTGGCCATTCAAAGAAAGGCTTCGCACAGGGATGAATCATTTTATTTTTATGTGAATAGGAATTATCACCTTTTAGTTTTCATTTTTTTTTGAGACGGAGTCTCGCTCTGTCGCCCAGGCTGGAGTGCGGTGGCGCTATCTCGGCTCACTGCAAGCTCCGCCTCCTGGGTTCACACCATTCTCCTGCCTCAGCCTCCCGAGTAGCTGGTACTACAGGCTCCCGCCACCACGCTCGGCTAATTTTTTGTATTTTTAGTAGAGATGGGGTTTCACTGTGTTAGCCAGGGTGGTCTTGATCTCCTGACCTCGTGATCTGCCCGCCTTGGCCTCCCAAAGTGCTGGGATTACAGGCGTGAACCACTGCGCCCGGCTCATCTTGTAATTTTCTACCTGTGTTCTCTCTCCTATAAGACTCTAAACTTTAAGGGCAAGACTGGTAATTGGCTAATTTTTCATCTGTGCCCATGCCTCTACAGTGCCTTCTTGCAGACAGCATGTAAAAAACTATACTTGCTGAATGGTCAACCAAGTCAAGTAACAAATCATGGAACTCTAATTCATTATTTTATAGTCTCTCTTCCTACTTATCTAAACATAACCAATAGTACAAGGTGATGAAGATAAGCACCAAATTAGTGAAATTTTAAAATGCTCTATGAAAGTTCCACAGAGAGGGAGTTCATTTTGGGTTACACTGAATAAAGAAGAGAGAAAATGACTTATTTGAAGAATAAGTAAGATTCAAGTAGATGGGGAGGAGGGGATTATTGGTGGACAGGTGGACATTTTCTACTTGGAAGAATAAGAATGCTCAAGAGCCTTGGAAATTTTCATTTTATTCTGCAGGCAATGGCCAATTAGAGAAGGTTTCTGCCTGGGAGATTGACATGTAGTTTAGGTGAATTGCCACCAGCCTTGCAAAAAAGAACAACACAGAAAACAAAATACTAGAGTATATCACCTGTAGAGAGGCTGAGTTTATGAAACTCTCATTTCAGCTGCACACACGTGGGTAAATATGTTGTAGGTGAGGGAGCAGTTCTGGAAGCGGGTTTTACTGAAACAAGTTCCAACATCTCTAAACTAGAACCCCTAATGCGATTCTTTTCTAGTGAGCCATTGTCTCTTTTCTCCATGCCAGAAATAGTTGTAATCCCACTAAGCAACTATATTATTTTTTTATCATATCCACACCAGTTTGTCATATATAGGGACCAGATTGTGTTTTGTCAAAGACACACACACACACACACATACACGCGTGTGCGCACAAGGAAGCAGATTGATTGTATTCAAACTATTACTATAGGGAGAGCACCTCAAATCCAGAGATCAAGCAGCTTGGCAGGGTAGTTTTACTTTAGAATTTTATAGAGAGGAGTAGAAAAGTTATAGGTGAGATGATTTATAGTTGGGATTGTTTTGCAATCAGGAGAAGTCTCATTCAAATATCTGTAAGGCAAATGTTTAGCTCTGTCTGGCTAGTTTCCGAAGGACAAACAGTTCAAATCTCAGCTAAATCATTCGTGAGACAAAGAGCAGGGAGTTGAAAGGTCTGTGTCTGTTCTTGTCTGCAGCTTCAGGCAAAAAAGGAAAGGTCTGTACCTGCCAAAGGCTCAGGTAAACAAGGGAGCCTTCATGGGTCTTAGGGAAGTCAGGAGAAAGAGTGGACAGTGAGTCTTATCTGTGTCTTAAGGGGAAAGGTAGTTCTTTTCCTTAAGACATTTCCTGCAAAATAAGAGTGGGGAGATTTCAGAAAATAAAAGGTTGGGGGAATTTCTGAACTATACCTGCTTTCCAGAAGCACAGAGCTCAGATAAAGTTCACTGTTATCAATTTTCTCTTCTGGGCTGACTTTAAAGAAAGAAAGGACCCAAATGTCTGGCCCATTTCCTCCAAGTAAGTAAACTTAAGAGCATGCCTCCAGCTAGTTCCTTGGATGATAACTGATGTTGGCTAACATCATTGAGGATCTCATTCTGTAACAGGTAATTTCTTTTTAATCTGAGAATAAATGGTACTGGAATAGATCAATTAAAGTGAATTTACTTGAGCCAGGGCAAAATTTAATACAAAATAGCAAAAAATAAAAATTAAAAAAAAAAAAACAACTTTGAATGAAACTTTATATTGAAACTTGAAACTAAAAATAATGAAAATAAAATTATGTTACTCATGTAATAAAATGCAGTTTGTAATTGCAACTCGAAGTTAGTTTTAGACAAAGAATGGATGAGATGTCGATTTGGGTGGGTTGGGGAGCATCACTTTTCTGATACATTTGCATCATAGCTCCACACAATACTCTTCTTGTTACTTGTGATTATCATAGCACAATTCTATAGAGGATACCATTAGCAAAAAATATTCAAAGCATCATTAATTTTCTGAGATGTCTTTCACTTCTTTGGCATTCACTTCACACTATTTTGGGGTGCTTATGTGCCCATCTCTTCTTGATTGGATAGGTGGTCTAATTCTATTAAGCACTCATTTGTCAGTGGCTTTGCCTGAAGGATTCCAGTGACCCTAACTTTACCTTCCCTTACATCAGATTTTTATCTTTTGTGACATGTGTGATGTCACCTTGTAATTGATTTGTGTGGAATGTATTGTGTTACTAGATATTTAAAACAAAGACATTGACCCAGTGTGTGGATTAAGTGAATACAAGCTGTATTGGTTTTGTAATAAATATTTTTCAAGATGATGACCCTTATTGCTCTATCTAAATTTCTAATCATGAAGACTCCCAAGAAGAAGACTCCACAAGTCACCCTTCAGCATTTTAGATGCTTTATTTTATTTAATTCTCACTTCAACTCTGCGGGGCAGGTAGTATTATTATCCCCAATACACGGATGAGGGAATGGAGGCTGATATGGTTTGGCTGTGTCCTCACCCAAATCTCATCTTCAATTGCAGTGCCCATAATCCCCACGTGTTGTGGGAGGGACAAGGTGGAGGCAATAGAATCATGGGGGCAGTTACCTCCATGCTGTTCACCTGATAGTGAGTGAGTTCTCACGAGATCTGATGGTTTTATAAGGGCCTTTTCCCCAACTTCATTCTTCTTCTTCTGGTCACCAAATGAAGAAGGACCTATTTGCTTCCTCTTCCACCACAATTGTAAGTTTCCTGAGGCCTTCCCAGCCATGCTGAACTGTGAGTCAAATAGACCTTCTTCCTTTATAAATTACCCAGTTTTGGGTATGTTCTTATTAGCAGCATGAGAATAGACTAACACAGAGGCTTTGATAATTTGTATGATTTTTCCAAAGGCAGAATTACCCAATGGCAAAGCCAGGACAGGAATCCAGGAGTGACTAATCACAAATTTGTGCTCTGTGCTGAAATGGTATGCCAGCCTCCTTCTCCCTACCGAGTTCACCCATTTTTTTCCTACCCTAATTTTTCCTTTTGTCTGGATGTCCTTATCTACTTATTAAAAATTAAGTTGTATCTTGTTATATCTTTTTTAGCCAATTTAAGCCCTTTGTAGAAAGAAAGAGAAGTATATATGCTTTTTTTTTTTTTTTTTTTTTTTAAAGCCATGTATCTTTTTCAAGGTTATCTGAAGAGAAAGTGTGCTGGTTATGCACACTCCAGATTCTGGAGTCCTATAAGCTGGAGATCAACTTCTGGCTCTCTGTCTTATTAGCTGAGTGACCTATGGTAAAGTTAAAACTTCAATATCCTTGCTTGTGAAATAGTCGGGTTATTATTACTCATCTCATGGGATTGTTTTAAGATTAAACACAATAATACCTCTAAAGTGCTTTGTGTTCTGCCTTTTTTATGGAAGGCTCCTGATACGGTTTGAGTCTGTGCCCTCTCCTGAATCTCATGTTGAAATGTGATACCCAGTGTTGAAGGTGGGGCCTGGTGAGAGGTGATTGGATCATGGGGACAGTTTCTCATGATTTAACACCACGCCCCTTGGTGCTGTAGTCATGGCAGTGAGTTCTCATGAGATCTGGTTGTTTAAAAGTGTGTAGCACCTCCCCTCGCCCTTCTTCCTCTTCCTCCTGCTTTGGCCATGTGAGATGCCTCACTACCCCTTTGCCTTCCACCATGATTGGAGGCTTTCTGAGACTTTCACAGAAACAGAAGCCACTAGGCTTCCTATACAGCCTGCAGAACTATAAGCAACTTAAAACTTTTCTTTATAAATTACCCAGTCTCAGGTATTTCTTTATAACAGTGCAAGAATGAATTAATATAGCTCCTGATAAACATTTCCATTGTTTTTATGCTTACAGGCAAATAAGATAGACAGTAAACAGTGTAGTAAACTGGGAGAATCAGCCCTGCTTCATTCTCATTTCCACTACAGCTAAATAATTTCATTTTTATCAATTTTTAAGTCACCAAAAGGAGATAACCGTTTTTCCAGGTTGAGTGGATTCTTTTTTAATTTTTAATTTTTGTTTTTTGAGACAGAGTCTTGCTCTGTCACCCAGGTTGGAGTGCAGTAGTGCGATCTCGGATCACTGCAACCTCCGCCTCCCGTGTTCAAGTGCTTCTCCTGCCTCAGCCTCCTGTGTAGCTGGAGCTACAGATGTGTGCTACCATGCCCAGCTATTTTTTTTTTTTTTTGTATTTTTAGTAGAGACAGGGTTTCACTGTGTTAGTCAGGATGGTCTTGATCTCCTGACCTCGTGATCCACCCGCCTTGGACTCCCGAAGTGCTGGGATTACAGGTGTGAGCCACCGTGCCCAGCAAGTGGATTCTTTAAAATTTATGTTGAAGATGGAAAGAACCAAAGTAGAAGTAACCGGGGTTCCAAGATTTTATTAAGTGCCACATCAGCCTTGAACTCACTACCTCCAGGCTTCCTGTCCTGGTAAGAGAAATACGTCATTTTGTAGCTAAAGTAACAGCTATTTTGGTTTTCCTCTTTCTTTCAGCCAAACCCATTTTAAACTAACACAGTGGAAATAATTGTGAGCAGGAAAAAGATTTTATGGATTCCAATTATGTTTTGCAATCTGCAAGTCAGCATGATCTGGAATGTCTATTTACTGTGGCTTTTTGTTTCCTTGTTATGATAGTGTTGTATGTCTATGGGATAGAATAGTCTTTTAATTCATAGACAGCACTTATTTTATAGTCAAGAATTGATAGGGTTGGGGATAAGCTAGGAAGCACAAATACAATTTGCTTTTTATGATTTTATCTTATTCTCTATGAATATATATAATTTCCTAATCATATATTTACACACACACATACACACAAATAAATATAAATTTTTGGTTCCCGAGTGTATCATTTCTCCAGTTATCAATTTTGTCTGAAATGTGGTAGGACCTGAACTACTAAGCACAATCATTGAAATTACATATTTCTCTTATTGACAAATGTTATTACTGGCAATGAGGAAAAAAATGTACTGGGTTTTTAAAATACTTCTATATATTTTTTTAAATGTTTGGGCTTTATTAAGAACTCATCAAAAAAATTCTAATCCTTTTCCTTTCTATGTATAGTTGAATGAACACACATGCACACACATGCCACAAAACAAAAACAAAGTTATCCTCACACACAGGATAGAAACCAAACCAAATCCCAACACACAGCAAGATGGTAGGGAGGGAAAAGGACACAGTAGCCGCAAAGAGCTTTTTTCTTTTTTTCTTCTTTTACCTTCATTACTGTCATCCGGAGTAGTGTAGATGGAAGCCAGGGTAAATAAGGAAAAGATAACAAAAGCCAATAAAATGAATGCCATTTCCAAGTTGGTATAGGGAAGCTCCATGAACTGCCACCAAAAACTTCTTCACCTGCAAGAGAAATACAACATTGGCTCAGCAAACTCTAATCCAGAGAGAGCTTGCTCAGCAATGATTTATTTTAGAATTCAACACGTGTGAGATTTACTGAAGCTTGTTGAAATACTTCTGTGTACCTGGAACAATGTATTTGGCACTGGTAAAAATGAAATGTGCTCTTGTTTTGAAATTTGGCATACAATTTCACTGTGTAGATTGGAAGAGAGCCTAGAAGTCTGAATGGCAGAGTCAATTTACCTTTACACACCTTTGTGAGTTTTTCGACACTACTCTGGGAATAAAGATAAGGTATGCTGACATGCAATGAGCACTTAAACAGGACCACGCACTTGAAAGAGCTTGAGGTATTACCTCCTTTAATCCTCATAATAACTCTGTGAGATACCAGTATTGTCTCCATTTCATAAATGAAGGAACTGAAGCACTACGATGTAACTTACCTTAAGTTATAACTCTAGTATATGGCAGAGGTGAAACACCAACTCTGGCAATCTGGTTACAGAATCTTCACTCTTAGTCAATATACTATACTGACACTCGACTAACCAACTAACCAACCAACCAGCCAACCAATCCCAAACTCACCGTAATGGTTAGGATCATGTTCTGCAAAAGCGTTAAGTGGGTTGATTGGAGAGGAGTTTTTATGTTAGGTAGTAGGAGATACAGTGGGTTAAGCCAAGGATATTGGAAAGAATTTAATGTCAAGATGAGAACTTAGTCTTTTTTCAAATGATATTAGAAGATGAATATAAGGTCCTTGGTAGTACAGAGACATGATGAAGCAGTATTTTGAGAATATTAATGGCATCTCCATGTACAGGAGAGAATGAAGGAAGAGACTGGTAACTGGAAAAAACTCAGAGTGAGTTTTAGCTCTGTGTTAGGATTTTAGCGGGAAGGAGAGAAAGGAAGGGATAAAACTAAAAACCGATTTGATAGAAGGGAAGAAGGATCTTGGCAGCTTGTTGGCTCTATGGGGTGCAGAGGGTGTCCCAACATTAAAATGAAGTGCGGGAAGGAAGAGGAGAAACAAAGATCACTGGGAAAAAGAGGCCCCCAGAATCATGTGTGAAATCCGTGGTAGAGAATATTAGTTCCTCAGACTTCCTTGTGGTTACTAGGGATGCAGATGCACTGTCACGTATTCGGCCATTCATCAATATTTGGAAAATGAATTGATCATGCTTATGCTTCTTCAGAGAATATGAAGGCTATTAACTCTGCTAAAGCAGCACAGAGAATACGGTTATTTTTACTATCAGTTTTCTGTGAGGACTCTTTCCTGAAGAAAAAAATAAAACTAGCCGGGCGCGGTGGCTCAAGCCTGTAATCCCAGCACTTTGGGAGGCTGAGACGGGCGGATCACAAGGTCAGCAGATCGAGACCATCCTGGCTAACACGGTGAAACCCCGTCTCTACTAAAAAATACAAAAAACTAGCCGGGCGCGGTGGCGGGCGCCTGTGGTCCCAGCTACTCCGGAGGCTGAGGCAGGAGAATGGCGTGAACCCGGGAGGCGGAGCTTGCAGTGAGCTGAGATCCGGCCACTGCACTCCAGCCTGGGCGACAGAGCCAGACTCAGTCTCAAAAAAAAAAGCCTAAAAACAGAAAAGAAAAAATTGTGCCCTCTAGTGGTTTTTAAGTGCTATAGGTGGGAGAAAGAAAGATGAATTGCCCACACTCTCTAAAGATGTTTCATTATACATACGTGTTACCCTGTGCTCATGCAAAATGGTTTCTCCTATTCTCCGGTTTTGTCCTACGCCTAGAATATCAACAGACTTAAGGTACCTGTCTTTGAGAGGAGGCAGTTGTTAATGTTTTCTGGACACATAGCTCATATGTGGTGATTCCCTCCCTCTCTCCCTTCCTCTGGCAACCTGGTTACAGAATCCTCACTTTTTTTTTTTTTTCTTGTTTTGAGATGAACTCTTGCTCTGTCACCCAGGCTGGAGTACAGTGGTGCGATCTCGGCTCACTGCAACCGCCGCCTCCCGGGTTCAAGCAGTTCTCTGCCTCAGCTTCCAGAGTATCTTCTTCCTTCCTCTCTGTCTCTCTGTCTCTCTCTCTGTCTCTTTCTCTTTCTCTCCTTTCTCTTCTTTCTCTTTCTCTTTTTTTTGAGACAAAGTCTTGCTCTGTTGCCCAGGTTGGAGAGCAATGGCATGATCACAGTTTACTGCATCCTTTTGGGCTCAAGCAATCCTCCCATTTCAGCCTCAAGAATAGCTGGGGCCACAGACATGCACTAACACCCTCAGCTAATTTTTTGATTTTTATGTAGAGACAAGGTCTCGTTATGTTGTCCAGGCTGGTCTCAAACTCCTGGGCTCAAGCGATACACCCACTTCTCCTCCCAAGTGCTGAGATTACAGGCATAGCCACTGCATCTGGCCCTGTGATGAGTTATTTCTAGCTCACTATCCTAGATACTGTCATTCTAGGCATAATAAACACAAAATAATGGTCTTTGAATTTTCAGTAGAAATTGAAAGTAGGGGGAGAAGACATAGTGGGATAATAGATATTGTCAGACATCTATGACTATGGAACTTGGAACCCAACTACCTTCTTGTCACGTGCTCAGGGCATGACAAGCCCTTGACCAGGGGCTCTCCACAACTATGCCCTAAATTCCAGAAAAGGTGATTTCTGCATAAATAAACCAGCCAAGAGATATTTTCTAAATGCAAAGATGATGCTTCTGGTGCCTACACTGTTCCCGTTCTTGTGTATCCTTGACGGAGCATCTGAAGAACAGCTGGTTGTACAGCCTGCATTTCTTCCTGGGATGTGTATCTGTAGTCTGTTCTCTGGACATTTTCTCCATCTCAGCTTACTTGGTGGAGAAATGTATCACTTGTTCCCCGCAGCTTCTCTAAGGGTTAGTACCAACTGAAATTATTATCTAGTAACAGATAGTAGGTAAATCATACTCATTTTTGTACGATAAAAATTAATCGAACTCCTTTTATCATACCATATATTCTATCACATTTAAGCTCATCTAAGCTTAGTTAAATTAAAATCATTTACTAGTGACTAAAGCATGGTTACCCTGATATGTCATTATTTCTTAGATCATTTAGGAAACAGATTAAATTCAGACATTATCTTCTTGATTTAAGGAGGGAAATGGGTCATTAGACTATCCCAACCCTACCATTCTGTATTCCTCCTATCCTTCAGCATCACGAAGGGAATGATCTTTATAAATGGAAATCAGATTCACTCTTCTTCTACATAACTAGCAAATGGCTTCCCTTGGAATAAAATTCAAACTCCCAGTTCTTCCCTCCTAGGCTCCCATCACCTGCCCCGCATCCGTCTGATGGTAGCCTGTGTGACAGTTTGCATGCTCCTGCACTGACCTGGCTGTGTACCGTGCCTGGCTAAGCTCATCCTCTCTTCCTCCTGCCTGAGAATCTCCTCCACATTCTCATTTGTCTACTTTCTCTGTGTCTTCTCTTCAGTTCAAGCACCACCTCCCCACAGAGGCCTTTCTTGACTTCTAATCTAAGCACTGTTTTATTCTCACCACAGCTATTCTCCATTGCATTATTTGTATTTTTATTTTTTTGAGACAGAGTCTCGCTCTGTCACCAGGCTGGAGCGCAGTGGCATGATCTTGGCTCACTGCAAGCTCTACCTCCCAGGTTCAAGTGATTCTCCTGCCTCAGCCTCCCAAGTAGCTGGGACTACAGGTGTGTGCCACCACACCTGGCTAATTTTTTGTATTTTTAGTAGAGATGGCGGTTCACCGTATTGGCCAGGATGGTCTTGATCTCCTGACCTTGTGATCCGCCCGCTTCAGCCTCCCGAAGTGCTAGGATTACAGACGTGAGCCATCGCGCCCGGCTGCATTTTTTTGTTATTGTTTCTTTGTCTGTCTTTCCCCATTAAAGTTCTACAAAAACAGTCTGCTTTGTTTACCTCTGTACCTATAGGACTTCGAAGAAATGACTGGCATATAGTACGTTTTTCCGTAAGTATTCATTGAGTGACCATAAACAAATGAATGGATGAAAGCAGCACCGAAGAAGGCAAGTTGATGCAAAAATCTGAATTTCGCAGCTGTGAATGGAAACTCTGGATTGAAGATATATTTGGAAATCCCAGTGGCATCAAGCACTCTATTACTTGAGAAAATCCCATCCAGAGGACAAGAAGTCTATTTTGAAAATGACTTTAAGGTTTCCATAAAATAAGCAGCGTGGTTGGGACTGATGGTTTTTCTTGCTGCTGTTACTGCCCTCACGGGGGGATGTGTTTCCTTTCCTTTGTTGCTTTATTTTTCTGTCTTCGTGGTTGCTGACTGAGCTCACTGCTCTCTTTGTGCACCATCCATTCATTCTCTTGCGGCTCCCTTGAGTGCTGTTATGATTGCTCGAGGACAGCATGGAACATGCTCTTCTTACTGGGCCCCGTTCCTAATGTAGATGCTCTGTGCATGCATCAAGGGCCGAAGGGACTAGGTAAAATGTCTGCCTTCATCTAAAGAAAAATCTGCTACAGTAAAAATAAAGGGCTTATTTACAGGAAGTAAATGCACTTTTCTGGGCAGTGGGAATTTAGTGTTTTGAATTCTTATAGCCTGCTGTATTAGAAAACTACGGGCTGAAAAAAATTCTGTGAGATACTGCAGTGCCCACTCCCCCACTAGCCTTCAAAGGCCTTGTGGAAAAAGTGTAAAGGCTACTAACCAACATGTGTGCCTCTTCTGTTGCTTGCTGGATTTATCTGCTTTTTTTTTTTTTTCCTGAGACAAAGTATCCCTTCCTCCTTTAAAAATTCTGAACAAGACTCACCTGACGCATTGAATGCTTATCTAATTTAAATAATCTGAAACCAGTGGCACTTTTTTCTGTTTTATCTGTAGGCGGGTGGATGGCTATACCAGTAATGCTGTCATGGTGTAAATCCTGTCTACTAAACAAAGCCTTAATTATCCCGTCCATCTGTGAAATGCCAACAATGCTCATTAGTCTCTGCG